CCTGATTCAGGCCAAATCTGAATCCAAATTGAATAGGACCCATTTTTCACACCCTTACTAACTATGGACCAAGTTTTCCAACTTTTTATTTTTTCCAATTAATGTGATGCCTGGCTCTTTTCTAACCTAATGATGATAAACTTTGGGAGAAATTTACTGTTATACAGCAAATGATGTTACAGAAGTACTGTGTTATGTGCATATATTGCATTTTCAGGTCAGTAATATTCCTTCTGTGAAAGGGGAAAAAACTCTTGGTCTTTGAGTGTTATATCCATTATTGATAGGCTGATATTATGAGGTCCTGAAAGTCTTCTGTGATTTGCTCTCCATTTCCACTTGAGTCAAGAGGCCATTCACAACCTCATAAGAAGATCTCATTATCTTGTAGAATCTATACACCTACTATACAACATGGTACAACCCCTATTTTAATAAAGGTATTAAGTGTGTACTTAAACCTTTTACTGAAGTGAGGCCATGAATCTTCCAGTATTCTCAGTGAAACCAATGGAACTTCAATTTCAAAACACTTCAAGGATGGGATCCTTTTCTGTACAACGTAGCATCAGTTAACCAGTTGAGGGTGGGAGGGGAGAAGATTTGCTCAAGAGAGAAATTTCTAATTGTTTTAAATCCAAAAGTAATGAATTACTAATACTTTGTTTCAATCAGATGACTGGTTCCTGGAAAAAATTGTGATAAAGGAAGGCAGTTATCCTGTTACCACACACAACTTTGTTCACAATGACTGGATCAGTAAACTTTCAAAGAAAGATTTTGTAGAAGTAGCAATCCCCCTTAAAGGTAATACCAGTAAAATTGTTCTTTGTTTATATAAATCAGTGTTGAATTACTTTAAATGAGGAAGTCACATTTTAGAAACAAATGTGAAGTTTTTTTTTGGTTAACTATAAAATGTATTCTGAATATGTATTTCCATTAATTGTAGAAACATCTGTGACTTCCGACCTTGTAAAAAACTTTGATACTAGAAGCAGAGGCCGATGGCAAATGTGCATGAACAGTACAAATATACCAGAAAAAATACCTGATATTCAACTTATTGTATTTGGAACAAAAAGGAAGTCCTCTGTACAGAAAGTTCAGAATCTGAAAAATGAGCCATTTTTGGTTGGTTTCTTATTTTATTTTATCTTATACAAATCTTAACTGTACAGCTACGAAATATGCACTGCATTTGTATTTAGTGTTTGTCATATTGTACATATAGATTTTCTTATTGATCAATCTAATATTCAACATCTCTCAAGCACCAAGAAAAACATCACCTTTCTGGGAAGTCACACCTACTTTTGAGCAGCTGTTAGCATACACACACATGATCACAAATTTGGAATTAGACTTGTTTACGCAACTTATCTTATAAAAAGCAAAAATAGTTCCACAGATCATCTACATTTTACTTCATAGTCTCAGTTAGTCTTTTGTTCACACTATCCCGAGCCTAGGTATGGTTACAATCAACGTAAAGAACAAATCAGCAGGCTTACCTCTAGTCACAAATAAAGGTGAACACCCAAACATATGAATATTAATTCCATAACTTCCATATAAAAATAATATCAACTTTTTCTCAATTATTAGAAAGCCAAGTACAAAAGGCTTTCTCTAAGCATTATGATAACACAAAAGTGGCTTTTGTGTTATCTAGTACAGTGGTTCTCAGCCTTGTATCAGGACCATTTGTAAACATCAATGACCAGTCCCAACCTAATGACCCTCACTCCTGACCTGCTGCCCCCCACCCCAGTATGTAGGGCAGGAAGTGGGTGGGTGTGGTAGCGGGGTGCCAAGCAGCCCCTTGCAGGCTGGAACTCTGCCAGCCTGCAAGGGAAAAGCCACAATTTCCCACATTTTTCTTCTTTAATGGGAAATCCATTTCTAAAGTTTATTGATCTATTTTTAAAGTTTGTTTGCAACCCTTTCATTTATTCTTGCAACCTGTGGGTTGAGAAACTCTGATCTACTTGGTGCTTGAGAAGAGGAATTAAACCTCAAAAGATATTTTATATAATCTGCACGCATCATCACTCACTATCTGCAAACTGATCTCCCTCAATTACCCTACCAGTATAAAACTCCATACATAGTTGGCTACCGTGTAATTTACAGGAGCCACAACTACCTTATGCTGACACCAAAACACATGTAAACAGAACTGTTACATTTTGTCTTAGTTTCTGAGTGCCTGTTTGTTCAGTTGAAGCTAAGTTATCCTGCCAAGAAGCACTTTGAGGAAAAAATGACAAATATAATATAACAGATTTTGATTTATCTGCCTCTCCCCTCCCTCCCCCCTTTCTTTACTTTGTGGGTTGAACTGTATAGTTTACGAGCTATAACTCAAACTTGAATTTTTTTTGTTGAACATAAATATACAGCGGTGGGTGAGTCAAATTAATTTTCCAAAATTGGAACTTGCTCAGCCTTTCGTTAAGATCTTCTGTATTAGTGATCTTGTTTGTGTCATGCATCTTTCCAGTCATGTCTCTTATGTTACCAAAATGATTGCATAATGTATAAATATTCAAGTTCACATTTTTTTTCCTTTAACAGTTGACTATTGATGATATTGGGGATATAACAAAAGTGGCTTTTGTGTTATCTAGTCAATGCTTGAGAAGAGGAATTAAACTTGACAAGGTATTTCACATAAACTACATTTGAAATGGATGCACCCTATATAATATCAAGAGAAAAATATGTTCTGGAACTATATTTCCTTGCATAAATTGGAGTGGCTCTTTATAATGGAATGATGATAATTATTGGATTGTGTCAGAAATAGTGGATGAATTCCTGGTGCTGTTACATCAATAGCAGTTTTGTCACTGACTTCAACAAAAAAAGATATTTGAATAGGCATGTCTGACAGCACATATAGAAGTGATTGGTATGCAAATCCTGCAATTTAAGGGAAATTCCACCTGGGAACAGGGGGCAACATTTTCTGTTGATGAACATTCTTAGCAGGGGTGGCTCTCTGCATGGAAATACTGTCACAGCCACCTGATTCAGGAAAGCAGTGTCGTGTGTATGCTTACATCCATCTTTGTTCCAAGAAGTGACATGCACAGAATTTTCACTGCTGTGACTTAAATGCACTTTGAAGATAAGATTATGCCAAAATACTATCCTTAATGCTGACATTTGAATGACCAAGAAAGGGTTACGGTCTGCCTATCATATGATTCAGCAAGGTTTTAAAAGTTATGCCCTTCCTAAGAGTGGGGATAGAGAGATGTAGAGAGAAAGGCTACTAGGCCATGGTTCTAAGGAAATAGCTTTTGCTTTGTGTTATCATGCACGGTTTAGATTTGTCAGTAAACTGCTGGAAGGAAAGCACTTGAAGACAGTCATAGGTGTGGCACTGAACTATTCCAGCTAAGGGAGCTTGCTGGTTTATAGCGTATTTTCCTTAGAGTCAATCTGGTTTGTTTAACCCTTCTGGCTAGGGACAGAAGTTACACATAAACTGGTTTAAGCTCACTGAGCGCAGCACATGCCCAAAAGAGGCATTGCATTAGTTTGACCCAGCTCTGAAGTCTGTATAGATTGCAACCTTCAGTGGGGCTTTTTGGCATGTCTATGTAGTAGCTGATTGAACCAGCTTTAGATAAAAGTGCCAAAAAGCCATGGTGAAGTGTGTGATCTATACACATGCTGGGGAACTGGTTTCAACTAATGCACTTCCTCTTACGGTAAAGCAGTGTGTGTGTGTGTGTGTGTGTGTGTGTGTGTGTGTGTGGTGGGGGGGGTTCCCCTCCCACATCTGTCAGCAGCTATCTTTTTATTTACATATAGAGTTTTTCACAAGCTGTGGTTCTACTCATTATTTAGCAGATGCTGTTGTCTGATTCTTTTTTTGAGCTAAAGAAAAGCACTCTGCTTGAAAGCTTGTCTAAAATCTCACACCCATGCAGTTGGTCTACTAAAAGTTTTCACTCCCCACCCCAAGAAAACCCTTGCCTTGCTGTGTGGTTTCAATACAGGTTGCAGGAGTAGAATCAGTATGAAAACCAGATCAATCCATCCTCTCAAAATGTGTTCCATCTAGGTTAACTTTGGGATGTACAGGGAGGGGGAGAGTGCAGAGATGTCTGTACTAACCATATCACACTGTTGCCTCTTATGTGAGTTAATATGAGATTGCAGTCGTCAGGGCTGTCAGTCTAGAATATTACGTGAACCTCACAAATTAAAAGAGAGTTTTCTCTGTGGAAAACAAGTTTAATTTTCTGTGGAAAGATAATCCACTGCTGATAGCATTATTATTTCTGTTTAACTTTTTAAATAGTTTAATACATGGTTAAATAATCATAGCTGCATTAATTTTTTATAGAGTCCAACAGGTCAATTGTCTGACTATAGAGAGATTTAATCTTTTCTACTGATGCATTTCTAACCTACAACAGGAAAGGCTAATATGTTTACACCATTGTTTTCAATTTATTAGCCCATTTATAAATGATTCACAATATCTAATAGACATACTACAGAGGAACATAAACACTGTGGAGAACAGAATATTTAAGTTTATAATTAATGGATAGTTTTAGGAAGCCATGGATTTGACTATAAAAAGATAAAAGATGACACATCTTTCTGGTCTTATCCTTATATAAAATAAACAAGCACTAACATCAAGATTTTCGTAAGCATGGAGATTATAAATGCAGCCACAAGGAAAACATGGCCCCCTTTTACTAGCCACCTTCAGCCACTGTCATTTTTTCTATTCTGCTGATGACCTCTTATGGTAGGCTCAGAATTTAAGTATTTTACTGCTCACCTTCTACAATTTTCTGTGTGCTTGCACTTCTGTAACAGATGATACCATGTAATTCTAACCCTGACTAGTGTTTATATTCTTTTGCAAGATCAATATACTACAGCAATGGCATCTTTTCATTTGTTTAAAAAAATATAATATTTTAAAGAAGAATGTTACTGTTTTGATTTGGAGATTAAACTTAAATGCATTCTTCCAATTCACATTAATATAGAAGGCTAAATTTTACTTATGCTGATGCTGAGAATTTCCATAAATGTTGGCTCACATTTACTTGCTTGTTTTTTTGCATGCAACTCCTGTAAATCAGGTATTTGCATGTGCAAAGACATTCATCAAGTTTTTTATATCAATGGGACTCATATGCCATTTAAAATCTAATCATTAGCCTTTTTTTCTTGACCATTTGCATGAACAACTTCAGTTACTGCAGTTTCAAGAGTAGTGCACAAATAGTGATGTAATGGGTTAGCTCAGCTAACACTGTCTTTATTGTTCAGGACATCCTTGCCCTGCAGACAACAGCATAAAACACAAATCAGATATCAGCAAGCAAATGCATACACAGTCAATACAGGGTTAATTTACAACCCTAGGGTTTTTTTCTCAGGCCTTGCGAGGGTTATCTGACTCACTCTGTTGCTTCTAGCCTCATAGCCTTCTCTCTCTCCCAGTGGTCTTTCCCCCAGATTCTGAGAGGGCCACTCCCGCTCTGCGCTGCAGCCTCTAGCCTCCAAGTCTTCCCTCTCTTTCCTTGCTCTATCTTGTTCTTCTGGGGTCTTTTCAAGACCCCAAGACAGTACCCTGGCTCTGTGTTGCACCTGCCAGCCTGAGACCTCTCTCAATTCCCTCTGTCCTCTCCCTTACCTGGGAGCTTTCAGCTTCCTTTGTCCAGCCAGTTATTCTCAGCAGCTAACTCACTCCTCCTAGCCATCCTTCAGTCACTGGATCTGTGCCCACAGCTGTGCTGTATGCATCCCCTGAGGCATGCAGCCTGCTACAGCCTGGTATATGCAGCCTGCTACACTGGGCTACAGCCCCTGCAAACATGTAGCCTGCTACAAGTGGCAATGGCTCTAAATGCTTTAAACTTCCAAGAAAATCCACACAAATCTCTCACAAGTGACTGGTACTAGAAATGATGGTATTGGAAAAAGTCTGCAAGGTGCCAAGCACGTAACACTAAAGGAACTGAAGGGCTCACCTCCTTGCATGATCAGGAATTCATGGGTATAAAGTTTGCTGTATGACAGACTTTAGATCTGGTGCCCTTAAATGTCTATAACTTTAGGATTCAAAGATCTGTATGTAGTTTATGGTCTGTATTCTAGGTACTCCAGAAATAAAATTTATACCAGAGGCCCCCTCTACACATTTAAGGTATGTTGGGATCTAATATGCCATTCACATAGTCATGCATTAGAACCCATCACACCTTATTGACGATGCAGAGGGACCCCAATTCCAGGCTCCCCCTGTACTGGCAAGAAGCAGGCTCCTACAGCTGAGAGCCCCCTGCACTGCAGCTGAAGGGCTCCCCATGCATTCCACACACCCTCAGGACTGGAGGATTGCCTCAGGTGTAATCTCTCAACTCTGGGGTTGCAAAAAACCCCTGGGGCTGGAGGATCACTGCAAGGGTGATTCCCAGCCCACCCAGGGGTGTGGAGAAATCCCTGGAGCCAGAGGATTGCCACAGGGCAGTCCCCCTCCCCAGGGCCAAAGGGAAACCCCTGGGGATGGAGGATCACTGCAGGGTGATCCCTCCTCCCTGGGGGTACAGGGAAACCCCTGCAACTACCTTCTGGCCCTGGAGGTTTCCTGAACCATGGAGCCCTATGGAGCACAGCAGCTGTGATCCCAAGGGTCTGGAGTTTTTCACTGGGCATGGTGCACCCCTGTGGCTGGGAGTCCCATCAGCTGATGGGACTCCAAGAACCAGGGAAGACCCTGCCAGCCATATAAAGTAAACCTGAATGGCATCCAGCTATCCAGGTTAGACCAGTTAGACCAGTTCATGGTCTAACTTAATATCTGGTTGGAGCTTTTTCCTGTGTAATAGCTAACCCCACATGTGCAGCTGGTTTACAGATAAATACACAATTAACCAGTTAATTATGCAATACCTGTAATGTGTAGAAGGCACCTTTGAGTTCTCCTCTCTCAAGGTCTCTTTGCCCGAAGATCTATCATATTTACTCAAATATAAGATGACCCTAAATGATATAAGATGACCCCCCAATAATTAGATTCTGTATATGGAATATTTACAAATTTGTTATAATTTTCCAAGTATAGAATCTAATTATTGGAGATTTGCCTTGAATTTGTCCCCTTTCCACTGCTACAGCAGGGAATATAAATCTGGGAGGTCAGGTAGCCCCCCACCCGTCCCCAGCCCCCATCCTAAATTCTTCCCTCCTCCTTACTGTCAGACCCTGCTCTTCCTGAGTTCATGGAAGTAAGGGGCAACATTTGCATTTAGACAGATTACTACAGGCACCCATAGACTTATTTGATCCAGAATTGATGAATTTTGCCTTTTTGAAACTTCTGAAAGTTTTAGCAGCGGTACTCCATAAACAAATTTTAAGCAGCATTTTTGTACCTACTTATATATAGTACAAAGGTTGGGTTGTTTTGTTGGGGGGAGGGGTTTGGGGGGGGTGTATTTTGAAAATTTGTTCTGTTCCAGGTCAAAGTAGCCAGATCAGCTCTGAATCCTTTTAATTGAGCAAAACTCAATCGTTCAAACGCCATATGTGGTGTTGCAATTGGCAAGTATCCTCCACTCCAGACTTTTCAGCCTGGAGCTTCAGATACTTCCAAATCCATCAGCAGGCATCCTACATGCAGGCTCAAGGCCAGAGTCATGGGGTTCAGATGGTGCCGAGTCTTGCTTGCTCTTAGCCAAGAGCTGCAGGAGCAAGAAAGAGAGAAGTCCCCCATTTCCATGAAGTAGGCATGTAGCCAGGATCCTCCCATTGGAAGCTGGCTAGTAGGAAGCTAATTACAAGACTCATAGGGTGTCATTTGGACAGGGGTACACCCTCCACTACACAATGCCATTGAAATCCATTTTGGCTCTGGTACCAGACCAGTGGAGAGACTACACTTGATCTTAGCTCACAAGAAGCCAAGAAGTGATACTTATATATAGTACAAAGTATACATGATATTAGTTCAAAGCCAGAAGGCTCATGATTTACCATATAACTCACTGGTCTAGGCCCTAGCAGAGTCAACAGCATTCCAAGCCATGGTGACTCTATGGCTCAGCACTTCTCAGGATCTGTGTGTACTTCAGCTATCCCTCACAAAGGTTCCATGTGCTAATTAGCCCCCCATTCATGACTGGAACTGGATTCTTGTCAAGAATCCTGGCATCCTCCAAAAATTTATGTACAGATGAGGTGCAGGCCAAACTGGTCCTGCTCCACCTCATGGAGGGCAGGGCCACACTAACCATATGTGACAGAATGAGAGAGAGGGCAACAGAGGAATTCTGGAAGAATTGTGTGGGCCCCTATTTGGTGATGTTTGCTAGATATTTAAAACTGGTGATGAAACTGGAATAATTCGATATGGAAAAGAAAGATGTAGCTCAGCTGTGAGATTGAAGAGGAAGTCCAAATGTGTTCAATGTGGTGGCTCACCATGACTTGAAAAAGAATCAGCACTGAGGGGACTGCATGCAATGGGCACTACCATATATTGTATCCAGATGGATTGTACTAACCTAACCTTGTGGTTGGTTCCCATTAATGGGTGCACAGTTTCTTAATGTCTTTTAAGGTGAGTGATGGAAAGTGTATGCTAGATGGTGTGTGTGTGTGTGTCTGTCTCTGTGTGTGTGTACACATGCATGCACGCACGCACGCACACGGAAACATTTTTCCAAAAAAAAAAAAAAGGGTTGGTTCCCATCAGCATCTTGGCCCTTTTGGCTAAAATCAAAGGGTGGGTGTTAAGGCTGACTTTGGCCCTCCTGCTGCTGGCCTGGTATTGCATTACTTCCAGGCTTGGTGTCAGTTCCCTGAGGAGGGAACACCCACCCATTTTTAAGGACCTCACACACACCAAATAAAAAGGTTCACATCAGTATGTTTGCCCAGTATGGGCCCTGTCAGTTTTATAGTCATGCTCAATGCTGACTACATTTAATCAGCTTCATAGTTGGTTTCCATTACTGAGCACATACTGCTTTTGGCAGCAGTTTAATGATAGACAAAGTGTTTAAAGAGGTTTCCTTGTATGTACTAATAAGATGTGAGGGGCTTTTATCTGCATGCTGATAGGGGGGAGAGGGGAATCTTGTCTTGTATTCAAGTAAATATGATGTATGAAGAGAATCTCAGTATCTTGATATAAACTTTCTATGCAAAAGCAGAAGTGAAACTATTCAGGTTACTCTGGGCAAGCATCCCTCTTCTCCAGTCTGCTCCACGCATTTCTGTGCCCCCAGATGTTAGTGTGAGCCACCTGCTCCCATTCCAGGCCTTCCTCCATGTGCTATGGGCTGGTCTCTCGCTATTATGGCTCCCTCTCCACTGCAGCTGCCATCACTGCTGCCCTTACCCTCACCACCGATTCTTATCACCACCAACTTCCACAGGGGCTAAATCTGTCAGGGAGAGAAACTATGACTGCAGTGAGGGGACCCAAGTAAGGGAGAGAAAGGGAATGGCTGGGGCAGGAGCAATTCAGCAGCAGAGGAATGCATGGAGAATGGAAAGAAAGGGAACGTACCACTGAATCCTATTACTGCTGGCTGCTGTGGAGAGTGAAATCAGCAGTAAGAGAAGTGGCAGGTAGGGAGAGCTGAGATAGCAGACAAAGAAGGGGGATGCACCAGGGCACAGACTTTACTAATTTTGCCTCTGCCCTTAGGGGAATGCTACCTGGCTGTAGCTGGACAGGGCCTAGGGGTGCCTCCTCTAGTTCAGCACCCAAGACTGGTCCCCAGTCATCCCCCACTAGTACTCTACTGCAGAAAGTCATTATGTCCTAGAATGCTTAAAACTTAAGAAACCATATCTGTAGGTGCATAGTTATGTATAAATCCAAGTCTTGCACTTAACCTTGTAGCTCTGTATCTTGCACAAAAATTTGAACATGTGTATACACAGCTATATTTTTGTACATATCACTTTCAATTTATATTTTGTAAGTTGGCCTGGGAGCTATTTTAGTTGTAATAAAAAAATACCTTTTCCCCCAACCCACTCCCCTTCAGCTCCCACCCTCCAACAAGAATGGGCATGAAGGATGTTGTCAATACTCTTTTACAGAGTTTTTAGGCCAAGAACTAGCTTGGATGATTTCAACCTAAAAGGGGATGGTGGGGGGAAGGTCAATAAAAATAAACAACTGAAATCACTGGCTTATAAACAGGAGTGCCAACAAAGCCTTTACTATGGCAATGTATTAGGGTAGGATTTTCAAAGGAATTAAAAGAAATCAAATGACCAGTTGCCACTGCAGGTCACTAGAACTATGGTGCCCAAATTCTATTGCAGGTCTGAATGAGTTCCAAAGGGAATGGGACATGTAGCTCCCATAAATCAGCTTTAAAAATCCCAGCTATCAGCTATACAGCAAGTTGGACCCAACAATCAAAACTAGCAAAAGCTATAAACAACTAAGATAACACATATGTTGAAACATATGTACACTAGCATAATGGCTTTAGACAAATAGGCATTTACAGATAATCCCGCTACAGATTTACACATTCATTTGAAAATTCTAGAATAGCAGCTACTACTTCCATAGAATTTAGACATTGATCCTTCAATTGGATCCATACAGTCAGACCTTTTTATGCCTGGATGGGGGCCTTATTACAGGATTTGAATCTCATAGTGACTGTAATAGCTGTTCCTTCATATAGAAAATTAGATAGCATTCAAATAGAGTAAATTATGTTTGTTTTTCATGAAAAATGGCAATTTTATTGGGTGGAAATAGGACATTTCTCACGAAGATTGTGGGTTTTCTTTTTCTGCTTGCAGCTTCGGCTAAAAGACCTGGACACTAAGCAAGAACTGGGATTTTACACTACAGACCAATGGCTCTTTGAAGAAGATGGGTCAGAAACCGTGACAGAGATCGCGGCAGTCAAACCAGATAAAGCACCACTCAGAGGTATGCCACTGAACAAAAAAATAAAATAAAAAAACCAATAAAAAAATGTTTTCCTGCTGTGATCCAAGTACTAGGATAAATATGACAAGAAAGATTGGAAAGCATTTTAGGAAAACCATTGGCAATTATTTTTGACATGTTTGGTTACGGCATTTATATGAAATGCTGGATCTTTAACAAGGCCTACAAAGGCTTAATTTACGTTGAACTGTTTACTGTTTTAAAGCAAATAGCACATATGTATTTAATGTTTCCATTAAATTAAATACCACTTTGAACACCTCAACAATATGTAGAGCCAAATTATTGTTGTTTCATTGCAGTCATTGGCACTCTGCCAGCATACACCATCTGACCATTTGACTCCTATGTTTTAAAATGCCCATGCAAAGTCACGACTAAGAAAATTATGAGCAGAGAAAAGATCATGAGGGTTTTCTAAAGACTTCTGCTAAAGGCTTCTGCTATAAGTATATTTTACAAATCTGATAATATCACCCTTCTTTAGATACATTTTACACAATATGTACAACCCCCCTCAACAAAATAAAAAACAAAGGTAGGGGAGGCAAGGAGACCTGATTCATTAAAAAGAAAATTAAGAGAAGTTTCCTGTTTTCAAACATTAGAAGCTATTTCCTTCCAGCTTCTAATTCAGCACTTGGAAATAAGTAGAATTATACATCAAGGAAATAGTATAGCATTTAGTTCTTCATAGAGTTAACAGAACCCTGGTTAAAAATCAGTCTGTCATGCTGCCTAAAAGAGTATGTGCTAAATAACTATGTGTTGTCATCCATAAGTCATTCTGGATGATGATTGATTATTGTCTATAGTGAATAATATTAATGCATGTCGATGGGAATAGTTGAGCTACTTTCCAAGGCCAAATTAATTAATGGTGGCAGTAATTAGGGGCATGCGAAACAGCACTGTTTCATTTCAAATTCTGTTTCAAAGGGACAGTGTTTCATTTTGACATTTTGTTTAGTTTGAAAGCACTATTCTGTTTTGTTTCATCGAAACTATTTTGCTGTTTCGATGTTTTGCCCATATGCTATAATGGGGAATCGTGAAAATGCCTATAACTTTGTCATTTATTGCCTGATTCAAATGAAGGCATGATAGTCCCTGCTGAGGCCATAATGCTTACCAGGTTTCAAGGAGATAGGTGCAGGGGTTTCTGGGAAACCACTTCAAGCTGCTTACAAGGAAAACTCATGACATGTGACTTTGTGTGTGTGCTGAGGCGTGCCCTCACTGGTGCTGAGGCCTCAGCACGACATGATAGTGTGCCCCAATGAGGTCTCCTCCTCCCCTACAGCCTCAGCCAGGTCCACCACTTTAAATAACAAGAGGTAAGTAAGCAGCACAGTAGCACTAGCATCTCACATAATCAAACTGTCACAGAGCCTTTCTTTCCTTTCCTGCAGGAGCTTCTTCTCTAGCAGCTGCCAGAGAACTCTTCCTGCCAGCCCCAGCCCTGGGGCTTAGATGTGCCCAGGGCCCTGCCTCCTTCTGGTCAGC